TGGCGTAGCGGACATATGAGCAGAGAGAACTTAGATATCATGAGTCAAGAAGTTAGTAGGCTGTTCAAAATAAATAAAGGTCATCCTATGGATTGAATTGCATAATTTTAAACAATTAAGCACTGAAGCACGGGGCATAATTTAACTTTAAATGAATTTAAGACCAAAGAAGCACATGTATATGGCCTGACCCGAATTCGTTCCATCCGCCCAAACTTGGTACAAGGCGATTTTGACAATCCTTTTTAGAGACCCTGGTGCTCAGTCACCCGTGGCAGATATATTATAAATATGATATCCTTGGACAGGAAACTAGTTACTATTCATCATGGAATAGAATTTCTCTCATCTGAACAATATTTAACCAAGTCCCTTTAAGCTTGGCGTCGGGTTTCAATCATATAGTAGAACAGGGGCGACACTGTCTCACAAACCTTAGTTAACCTTAGTTAATTTAAATGTCTTGTACACAACATTTCGACTCTTGTCCACCGCCCTTTGAAATGTGCACACTTTACAGTCATTAAAAATAGTACATTCATAACAAACAATTATAGGTACACCTTAGATCAAAGAATATTGATTGGTGGGATAACGGAAGTGGGTAATGGATGTGGAAAAATAAGTGTTTTATGATATGACTTGAGAAAATTCATAGGATGAATATAATAGTTGAATAAATTATGATCAGTGCAAAGAAAAATTATCTGTTTTGCATGCTTCAAAGTAGGCCTATAATGTCATGTGAGCAAGGTATATGTATATGGAGAACAAAAATAGACGAATGGAGAAATTATAGTTTCACTTCCTATTATTGGCTTATAGAGAATATGGTTGGTAATGCAATATTATCCGTATAAACAAAACATGTACCTTCAGTAAACAATATAATTTATCATTCAAGCACATCTATAAGATAACAATTTGATTTACGTAAATGCTTAGCATTAAGAACAAGAGATCTGTCTTTACATTATTCCAGTTTTGAATTGAGTAACCTCACAATGAAGGGGAGTGCGCTCTTTCTGTAGCGCTCATTTTTGCATTTTATTTCTGAATAGTCTTTAGCGTTGCGCAGGTTGCGGGAGGTGCGGGAAGCTCGCGTAGGGGGGAGCCAGTGATAGAAGGGGGACGTTTCCTTTGTGAGGTTACTCGCAAATTTCTTTGTTAACCTTTCCCTCCTCTCCTCCAGCGTGGGAAGGTCAAGAACATTGAGGGCATCATCATAACTCGTGTATCTTTGGCCAAGCATGAGGCGACACGCTCGTTTCTGAATTCTCTCTATCAGTTTCTTGTCTGCCCGAGTCAGACCTGAATGCCACACAGGTGCGCAGTATTCGACTTTCGGGCGCACGTACGAACAGTACACAACTTTCAGATCCTCAACAGGTAGCCGAAAACCTTTCAAGATACGCATCATGTGTAGCCTCATGCTTGCCGCCTTGACCATTTCTGTGACATGATATGACCATTTTAAGTCCTCCTGTACAAACACACCCAAAAGTTTAACTAGTTGTACTTCACTTATTTCCAGGTCACCAATTTTTACCTTTGGGACGATTGCCTGGTTTCTCATGAACTGAATCATGATGTTCATGACGACACATTTGCTAGGGTTCAGTTTCATGCTATTGTCTTTGGTCCATTTCTCAAGTTCATTTACCACTTCTTGGATTTTGGGTTGATCCGTTGCCTTCCTACATTCGAGTAGGGAGAGGTCGTCGACGTATTTCCAACACTGAACATCACTGTCCTTGAACACGTCGTTCAATATGAATATGTCAAATACAATCAATATCAAGACAATTTACATACTACACTAAGATATTTACACAACCAAAACTTGATAGATCTTTTTATCAAATACATCTTTGCAGATGCCGATGATCGTTGCTTTTACACGTTATCAAGATATATGCGATGATATCTTAATAATAACATCTCATATACAACCAATATCAAGACAGTTTAGATACTACACTAGAATATTTACAAAACACAAACTTAATTGATCTTATAGATTGAGACAGAAAAAGAAGAAAAAATCTGGTTTGTACAAATATATTATGAGTATTCAATGACTAGTTGTTTTCAAAGCTAATAAAGATTTACCGATTTTATAGTGTCATCTTGAAGTGACCTTTAATTTTTATTTTGAAATCTCTGAAATGGTAATGGAGAGTGAAATTCATAATCACTTTGTTCTTGTTGAAATTGGCAATTTGTAGTTGATTTTCGTTGTTGCAATTTTGATTCACACAGCTTTTAGTTTTTAATAATGAAAGAGTGGGAAATACGAACGATTGTTTCATATTTGAGGAGGAAAAGTAGATTCATTTATATAACCGTGTTCAAAAAGTTCGTTCCGCCCCTATCTGCCAACTCAACTGCTCATATGACTACTTTAGTAATAGCGCAGTCTGTTATCAACCAAATGTACATGTACTGGATGTATACTAATGCATCCAGGCTGCGGACATTGACCACACCATTGCTGGGCTGAGATACGAGGTCAAACATTGAAAAGGAGGAATTTAAAGGTCTGTAAACCTCAGACATTTAAAGATGGCGCCCAACAAGTACAACAGTAGCTTGGAGAAGGAAAGAGAACTGGCCAGAAAATTTGACAGAAATGAACCCCATAGAGAAACTATGGTCTATTATGAAAGAAAAAGTATTTGAAACTCAATACTGCATAACAATAACTAAACTTAAAGAGGGGATCCGACGAGCATATAAAAGCCTAGACATGAATAAGGACCTCCTTGCGTCATTAGTGGACGATAACTGGACCAAGCGTGTTTCACAGATGATCGACCAGCAAGGAGAGATAAATTTTAAATAAATTGGGAAGTGACATCTCAATAATACTTAGAAATGAGAAAATTAACAAAATAACCTGAAATGCATGGTGCAAATTGAGTTTTAAACACAATAAAATGCTTTTCTGTAGGGGGGGGGGGGGGGGGGCGGAACGAACGTTTTGCACACCGTATACCTGCAGAAAAGTTTCTGTGAACTGCTATGAGTTATTTAGTGAGAATGTTGGAGAGCTGGATCAAAACCAAAACAGATTGTTATAAACAAAAAAAGCATGACTGTCAAGTTTTTAGTATTTGGGACTTTGGCTTTCGAATCAGTCGTACTAATCAAACATTACTACTTAACTTTATAGCTAGAAATAGTATCCTGCGTTATTTTTAAATCCCTGATTGTGATAACGTATTATTTATGAAAGACGTAAAATTAAGATTAGTACAGAACAAAGATGAAAAGGAAAGAAGAACATAATACAACATATTAAATCGTGGTACTGTCTAACCTGGATGAATAGTCACGTTGCAAAAAACCGCTGTGCGTGTGTGTTTTTGTAGAGAATTGTGTTTTACATACGAGTATATATAGGCCCACTTTTACGAGGCGCGATGGCTCAGTGGTAGAGCACGGGTTCTCAAACTTTTTACTTGACGGTCCTGGGGATGTTTCATAAAGCTGTTCGTAAAGTTACGCATGACTTTACGAACGACTTGTATATGAAAAGCCAAATGGGATGCTCAATAATTCTTGATTATTATTTATTAAGTTGAACTGTGCAGATGTAGATTAACATTCTTATTATAACAAACATTTTTAATGCAAAGTATATTGTTTGCCATAATTTAATTGAGGTTATTGGAAATATCAGAAAAAATTTGGGGCATCCTATCTGGCACTTCATATACAAGTCGTTCGTAAAGTCATGCGTAACTTACGAACTCTTTATGAAACACCCCCAGATGAGATTTCAATGAAAACTGAAAGGTCCAAAATAATGGACAAATTTAATTTACTAAATCAATTATTTTCATAAATATAGGTTTGTGATATTATACGTACACGTACCTTAATGATTAGAGTTAAAACAGTTGGAAGAGAAAGTTCTGGTAAACATATAGGGTATATCAATGGGAAAAACAGCACTGTTTTCCGGCAAAAATCCGCCTAAACATTGGCTCAAATGGAATGATTGCAAGACGAAAGCATTAATGCAAATATTCAGACAATTTACTTCTTACATTTACAGTAATGGCACTTGCTTACTGAAGAAAATGAGGCTTGTGTTTAGGTCTTTATCCTATATCTGATCTGAGGGGAATTGTTACAGTTTAACCCTAAAAAGACCGGGTTATTTTGGTACACATTTTAATTTACTTCAAATAATTGTATTTCCTAAACTAAATCAAAATATGAGCTCTCACCCAAGGCCAGGGGAAGGGGGGGGGGGGGCGTGGTTGGATATAAAATAAATAGAAAATCAAAAGCTATATTAAAGATCAGATATACAGATTGAGAGTAGGTTCAGGACATCTTGATAATATTGTTCATTAAAAAATTGAAACTAAATGATTAAACTGTAGCATTTACATGAAGTAGATATAAAAAATAAATCGATAAAATACAATTATTAAATATTGTTATGTATGATATTTATGAATACGTGATGTAAAACCCGACTTGAAACATAAAATTACATTTATTAAATTACATTTATTGAAATAACATTAATAATTATTGCATTGATCAACTTGCATTTATCAAAGTTAAATTTAAAAAGTCAGATAACATACATTGTTGTTCTGAGTTGCATAGATTGGCAATAAGAATATATTTTATAATAATTTATCGGATCATTTTTGTATAAATGAAATGATAGGAGATTGAAGGGTAAGATCGCAAACATCCATTCTCACATGGTTTCTTAATAATGAGTTTAAAGGCCGATCATTGAGTAAAATAAAAGGCTAACTGTTCAAGTAATGCGGTCTACATTAGATGATAAAGAGATGATTCGAAAATCGAATTATTAATCATTGTTTTAAACATACAATACCCGATATAAAAAAAACTTGCAATATAGAAATTACACTTATTAAAATTGCATTTAATTAAATTATATCTCTAAAAACATTTCTTTTCTCAAAATAAGATTCTTAAAAACGACATTTTATCAAAGTTCTATTTATTAAAATCATATTTATCAAAACTATATTCATAAAACTACATACAAATTCAAACAGAGGTTTGGGATTAAATAGCTAGATCTATATGAGGAGGTCGGGATTCCTATTTAGTAATCGAACAATTATTGATGGAATACTAGAATTGTAATATCTTGTGGTCCTGCATTTTGGTTCATGGAGAAGATGTGATTTGGTCATTTGGTGTATCATAATTATGCATTACCACATATATAATGGTTTTCTAAATATAAATTGGCATCAGATGTGTTTGCGACTTTATATTTAGTCTGATCCAAGCTCCAATAGTGCTCTTAGCTTAATACATGAATCAGATATACTAAACTCTGATATGTGGACAGTAATGTAGAATGGATCACACTATCCCGAAAATAAGTCAGACCATTACTACTCGTTGGGGATCAAGTCGTTGGTCCTCAGATTAATGGTGAGATTTTTCACCAGTTTATTCCAGAAAAAATCGTGTCCTCTCACATCCTCGGTCCAATGTAGGTAGGGTCTGCCGTCACTTAAATATAACCTTGCCAAGAATGGTATCTCTTCGTCAGGGATGTCTTCGAGAAAGACCACGACTACGAATTCGGTCTCGGTGTCGCTCACATGGTCCATTGCAGTGCGGATTTTGAGCATAAACCAGCGATCGTGCACGGCGGCTCTGCTGAGTAGAATGAGTGTTTTGTAACTATGGCTTACCACGTAGTCGACGGCGTCCAGATAGTGCATACCAGGGATGAGGTCTTGATCACCAAAGACATTCCTCTGGAACTGCGGAAGCCGTTCTTCCAGAGCTGGTCGGAGTTGTTGACGAACCCATTCTTCGTCGTCATCGTAGAAGATGATATTCAAGTCAAACTCGTAGTCCTTGTAGTCCCGGGCGTCTCGCATCTCTTTATATCCAATTGCCATAAGTTTGAAGAGAAAGAGTTTTTGCTTCAACTGCCATCGGTTGTGATAAAGGACTACGACGATGACAACCACGATAATGCCGGCGAGAGGAGTCAAGCATACAAGAACAACGTTGAGTCCACAAAGTTTACTGGTATCAAAATTAAGCAAAGGTTTTCCGCGAAGAGGCTCTAAAGAGGCCAATGAACAAAGGGTTTTGTCCTCGTCAATGACGAAAATATGTCCACTCATCCAATCGCGGAACCATCGTATATCACAGTTACAGCTGAAAGGGTTCAATGAAAAGTCTAAAGATAGAAGCGAAGATTTTATCGGTTCAAATGTCGTTTGGTTGAGACGGGTGAATCTATTGTTTGATAGCAAAAGAGTAGTCAGTCTGGGATTGTTCGAGAATAGTTGTTCATCGAGGTATGTCAAAAGGTTGCCATCAAGATTGATAATTGTCACTTGATCTAACATTTTGAATATTTCAAAATTAAGTTGTTGAATCATGTTTCCACGTAAATTTAGCACCCGAAGCGATTCCAATCCCGAAAAAGCTAATGGATGAAGGCCTGAAATATGACAGGTTTCTAAACCAAGTTTCTGGAGAGCAGCGAGTTGTTCAAAGATCCTAGCTGGAAAGATATCTGGAAAGCGAATGTCAAAAGAATTGTCGCTCAGATCCAAAGTAATAAGTTTTGACAATCCGTCAAAAAGAGAGACATTCACGGTTTTATCCCATATATCAGCTGTCGACAGACTCGATTTACGGATTTCCAAATCTTTAATGCCTTGTGAATCTTTGAGGAATATTCTAGGGGTCGTATAGGTCGAAGGGATGTTCATGTTATTCATGGAAAGGGTTGTTAAGTTCGGGGCTACCGGATGAAATGTGGACATACTGCATTGGTTCAAGTCGATGGTTTGAATTTCTGTCAGTTCCGAAAACGACGTAATATTCAGGACAATAAGGTCTTTGTTGAAGCGCAGATCTAACAGCGTTAGATTTCGCAAACCCAAAAATGCGAATTCTGAGATTTCTGTCAAAGAATTGGTGCATAAGTACAACACATTCAAGTCCAGTGCCCATACGTCACTATTTGGGTTTATATATTTTATTTTATTGTTGTCCAAGTTCAAAACTTTTAGCTCCCGCATGCCTTGAAAGAATATCGGTTCAACAGTGACGATATTGTTTTGCGATAGATGAAGTTCCACGAGTCTTGTCAAGTTTGAGAACACGTACGGAGAGAGGGATTGGATCCCATTGCCCGATAATGTTAGAAAAGTAAGAGAGCAATTACGGAAGAAATCTAGTGGCAAGACTGTGAAATTTGAATAAATTATAGCGAGCCCCACTTTTTCAGAGCGACAGATTCCGCTATAAATATCCTTCAGTACCTCAAGTGACAAAGGGTAGGAGCCAAAAGACAGTGACCGGGCACTCAACGATGCAATAACGTTTGGGTCTACTGATTTAATAGGATTCCGGGAAAGATCAATATAATCACTTTGACATCCGAAGATGAAAGATTCTGCCGTGAGATGCTCGATTTCATTTGAAGACAAGTCAACAAAACTTAGTCTGCCACAAAGGCTCATGTTAACGAAGGTAAGTCTGTTGATCATTAGATTTATATTCTCTACAGACGGGCTCCATTTAAGAGTGTCGTTTGGAAGCAGTTTCAGATTACACTGTATCAGATCCAGGGTGGACAGGTTCTTAGACCCCCTGAACAGGTCTGTAGCTGGGAGAACAAGATTAGGGTTGAATGATAGGATTAAGTGATTCAATTCCTTTAGAGGGTAAAAAGATTCAGATTCTATCATTCTGATGTCGTTTAAGGAAAGATCCAAGACCTGGATCAAAGGGTATCTCTGAAAAGAAGTACTCAAGATGAAAGTGATATTGTTGCGCGTGACATCCAGTACTTTAATATCGTCTGGAAGATTTTGAGGGATGGAGTCCAACCCACGATCAGAGCAATCAGCTTTCTTCTGCTCGGCCTCATAATGACATATCATAGAAGCAGTAAACATCGCATCTTGGTGAATGGTTTGGATGAGCGTCGGTGTTAGAACACATAATACAACCAATGGCAGACAGCGTAGAAGAGGTGCTTGTCGGATGAATGCCATAATAACTGATTCCTGTCTGAAAATAAAAAACAAAAGATAATAAACTGCAGAAAACCAACCTTCACCTTAACAATGATAACCCTGATCACTGGCCTATCACTGACCTTAACTCTTACCCTAACCCGAATACATTCTACTGATGCTTAGTAACGTATTCTTCATTTAGGTCATGATAATTATTTCTCTCTAAAGCTTGAATTATATGTAATTGAATAGTATTAAAGTTTAGAGCCATGGCAATGCCTGTTGGCGTCTACACCGTCCAGAATTATACTTAAAGGGAACCAAAACCTTCATACTAAGTTACTTTTATTGTAAAGTTTAAGATATTTGAATAAAATCAGTGAAAATCAGTGAAAATGTGAACAAAATCGGGCAAGGAATAAGGAAGTTAGAGCTTTTTGAAATGACAAGTCACTAGAGGGCGATATTCAATTTGATGACATCATTTGGGGACAACTCTCCATGCCTTTTGTACATCAAATTTCACAATTATTTCGTTTTCTTCGTATTTATTTGTGTTCTTGATCCGACTTCATAACATGTGAAATAGAATATAATTTTGCATTCTATACCTTGCTTTCAGGGGAATAGATTATCTCAATAACAAGAAAGAAGGAAAAACATGAAATTTGATGTACAAAAGGCATGGAGAGTTGTCCACAGATGATGTCATCAAATTGATTATCGCCCTCTAGTGACTAGTCATTTCAAAAAGCTTTAACTTCCTTATTCCTTGCCCGATTTTGTTCCAATTTTCAGTGATTTCATTCAAATATCTTAAACTTTACAATAAAAGTAACTTAGTATCAAGGTTTTGGTTTTCTGTGTAAATCTACACGAGCAGTGTGGTAATACAATAATTTTAAGTAGAGGTATGTTGCGCTTCGTTTAAAAGTCCATCACCCTGGTGTAATTCAACGTCCTTTTTTCATTCACATACAGCAAAGCAAGAAAAAAATCGTATGGAAATAAGAATCAATCGTTCATTTCAATTTTTGTTAATGTCAGAGTTCACTCACTTTTATATTTACCTTAACTATAAGAAAGATCAATAGAGTATTCCAAAGAAGGTCTTCTGCGGACTCAGAGAACCTGGCAATAACGGATGACTTGGTTTGGAGAAGAATCAATCAACACTAATGCAGGAAGCCTAGCTGTTAAACCATCCTTGATGAATGCTCCGGTTTCGACTTTAGAGCAAAACAAGAATATTTTAATCCAGGCAGCAAATTTACTGCAAAAAAAATATCATATTTCTGCTGGAAAGTGAAACTGTATACTGTACTTTACTAAATGCTTAGTCATATTATTTGCCTCGTATAGTCTGGAGAAAAAGTAAATTCCCGGGAACAAACCGAGGCAATGTATAGAATCATTTCTCCATTATTGAATATCTTGATTTCTATACAGTGCGTATAAAAAGATACCTAACTTTGGTAGCTTCTAAGTAAAAAGTTATAACCTATGTGACGTTGAATCATTAGTCATGGTAAAGCGTAACTAATACACTAATACATGTGCTGCCACGGATGACTGAGCAGCAGGCTTTTCAAAAAGTATTGTCAAAATCCTCTTGTAAGTTTGGGCTGAACCAATGAATTTCAGTCAAAAGCCATTATGTGTGTATTATCTCATTCCAAAAACAATGATATTGCTCACTTATTTACATGGACTATTAGGAAGTTGAAAATAAAAGGTGTAATATCAACTCGAACTCAAGGAAATGCTTATTTCTACCAACATTTATGATACTCTTTTTAATATGATGATTACAATCTTGACTTTATTAGCCTCCCTTGTCTAACGTAACCCTTCTCATTTAGTGCTACAAAATGATTAAAGTTTATTTGGGATGTTATCCTTTGTATAAAAGTCTACTGCCAATTTCTTTGATACTTATCATCATATGTGTTCTTTGCATTTGGGTTTTAATAACCTTTGAGTTTTCATTTGCTTTTCGAGATAAACACATTGGCTCGAATTCACAAAGGAGGTTTAAATCTAACCAATGGATTAAGCCTCCTTTAGATCATGGTTTAGACCATGGGTTATCATTTTACAATTCACAAAGGAGGTTTAAATTTGTCCCAAGGTTTAACAGCGTCATATGACGTCATATTTTTAGCCTGTTCAGAGGGGTGGTTTAAAAAGTGGGTTAAATTTAACCCACGGTTTATAAAACAATGGGTTAAATCTAAACCTCCTTTGTGAATTCGGGTCAATATGCTCATTACGCGTGTGAGATGGCGCAGCGGACATTGTGAGCAGAGAGAACTTAGATACAATAAGACAAGAAGTTAGTAGGCTGTTCCAAATAACAAGGCTCTGTGAAAGATTCATTGCGTCATTTTAAATAATAGGGACTTTTAGATTTGCACGTCGAAAGCTTTGACTGCAACGTGTGACGTCATTTTAAGGCACTGCGCATGCGTTACGACGTCTCAGTCGACGATCGAGAATGCGTCAACCTTGATTTTTCTAAATCTAGTACGGTACTAGTATGCCGCGTGCGCATAAAATATACAGTTCCTCAGGTAGACAAAGGAACATCGATCCCTTCCCTGCTATTATGTAAAAATGTGTAGAACAGGTGTCACATGCATATTCACCTGTTCTACACATTTTTACACAATAGCAGTGAAGGGATGTTCTGCATGTTTATCGTCGAGTGCGATCTAAGATTTCTAATTGTAGTCAACATGGGCAGTTGAGTACGTTGACACGCATGATCAGTCGGCGTTCGCCGTGTTCTCGTCCACTCAATCTAAAAGTCCCTAATGATACACTGAAGCACGGAGCATAATTTAACTTTTAAATGGATTTAAGACCAAAGAAGCACATGCATATGGCCTGACCCGAAAAAACGTGGCAGGTGTACTTTTGTTAAGTGTCCGGAAAACCCAATTTCTTTGATAGACTGATTCATTCAAGTCCTTACCATACGAACCAGAAATCAGAATGAGGAAACGAGTTGGCTCAGATGGTAAAGCGTCTGCCTGTCGAAGTACAGATCGTGGGTTGACAGTCCCACCCAGGCGGATGACTGAACTCACTGAAGCCTGCGGTTGTGTGTTAAGTGTCCCTCTGCTGTTTCATATACGCAAGGTAGGTTACAGTGGAAAACATTCAGTCCCTCGGATAAGACGTTAAATGGTAGCCCCGTGTAGAGGAGAATCACCACCTTTGCAAGTTAAGAACCCACTGCACTTTCCTATAAGAGTAGGGAAAAACCCGTTGTAGTTATCCACCTCCACACCCCCAATCAGCTATGCCAGGAGGGGAGACATAGGGTCACAACAGTTGCCCTTCCCAGGCATAGGGGACGCAATGATAACATTAGTAATACAAAATATGAATAATTCAAAGATAACTCTATATAAATATTAAATACATACTACTGTACAAAAGTATATAGTAAAAAGTACGTGCAGTGGCGTAGCTACATTGGGAACAGGGGGCACCTGCTGTGACCCCTCCCCCGCCCCCAAAGTTTCGACGCCCGCTCTGAATCTGGACCCACCCTACGCCATTGTGCAAACCGACATTTACACCGTATTTTTGTGTCTTCTTTCAACAAAAGTGTGTGTGTGTGTGTGGGGGGGGGGGGGCAGTGAACCTTTGCTCATGCAGGGCCTTTGTTCTGGAATGCTCTCCCTCGAGAGATTAGAATTATCGCATCAGTCAAAATGTTTTTTAAAAAATCCTTAAAAAGTTTGACTTGGCTTATAGTTAATTGAGCCTTTCTTCTTTTGGCGATTTCATATAACTATTAATCTATCTATACTTGTTTATGTTGTTATGGTTATTATTATTATGTAGTTACGTAGTTTCATTATAATTATTATTATTATCATTATTATTATTATTATTTCCCCAGATCTGTGCCCGCGGCAGAACGTAACCGACCTAAAGGGCACCTTCGAATGGGACTACACCCCCGCAGGGGAGTACGCCTTCTTACCCTGCCCTAATAGGGGCTGGCTGGAGGAGTACTTCCCCACCGCCCCTCCCATGATGGTAGCCTACCGCCCCTGCTACCCACCCACGGTAAGAAAGGGGCTGAGGCAGCTGTTCTACGAGGGGGCTTTCTGGGGCGAGCCGGTGACCGACATCTGTCGATGGAGCTCGGAGACGACATGGATGCTGGACGACATCCGCAAGGCGATCAGGGAGGAAATCTTGGATATGGTATGTCAGCAGGGTATGGCAATAATAATAATGATAAAAATGATAATATTTCCTTTTAATGTTATGATTAATAATAATGATAATGATAATTTCATTTTTATTTCATTCATAACAATGATTCTCTTAAATGAATGGAATGCCGTGACCGAGTGGTTTAAGGCGCTTGACTGGGGATGCATAGGTCGAGGGTTCGAAACCCGACACGGCACTAATATCCTTTGGCAAGATATTAACCTGCACTTGCTACTCTCCACCCAGGTGTCAAATGGGTACCCGGTAGGTTGCGACCGTTAATGTTGGTCAAACAGTTTTTGAGCATTAAGTAACGCCTGGCTGGAATGCTCCCCAGGGAGTGGAGATTTTGCACACAGTGTGTGCGGGCAAGCATTGAATCCAATGACCGGGGTAATAGTATATCTGTAAAGTGCTTAGAGACATCGTATTAGGCGCTATATAAAAGCGGGATATTATTATTATTAATACCTGTCGCACACGGGGTTATCTGAATGATTTTACTTTCACATGACCGCAACAGCCACTGGTGCAGTTCTACGTCATGCAATCCCCTTAGATTTGTCGATCAATATAATTGCGTCAATCTCCTTAGATCCGCAACACTCCCAGCAACAACTTCAACAGTAACAACGTCACCCGAATCATCTACCACCTCCGTGAAGCCAGTCTCTTGATCAACTCTGTCCCCACCGACTACCTCACCGAAGTCGACGTACTCATGGTCGCCTCGGTGATCGACACCTCCGTCAGCGCCGGCGTCGAGGGACTCTACACCGTCACCTCGGAGCTTGGGCAAGAGGTTGTCAACCTTGCCGACCGCATCCTGGATATTTGAACGCTGCTGAAGGCCCACAGCTCTTGCCTCAGGTACGTAGGTTTAAAGTTCTGCAGGCCCAGGCTCTTATTCGACATTTTACCAGAATTTATAAAGCTTTAATTGAGCAGAGCCTAGATTCGTCAGTCTCTGGCAGTGTCCGGAGTAGCCTTTAAACAAGGTAACTTGTCTGATAGACGCCGAGCGACTAAAACGAGACTAATCGCGAAAACCCGATTGAACGAGAGAGCGAGAAGCCCTCGTGACATTCGTCTCTCGGTCGCGCGTTCACTCCGGGTATCTAGACTCATCTCAGCCGCTTAGCCAGAGTCACGAGGCCTTGTCAAAAGGCTATGTCCGGAGCAGATACAGTAATGAGCTAATGCAACATGCCGTGCAGCCTAGTCTCACGTGCAGACACTGTTAGGCCTGCACAAGGAATGACAGGGGTTTAATTGTGCCTGCAAACTAGTTCGATCGACTTACCCATTGCTGATAACCAGACATTTAAAAGGCCCATTTAATTTGATGTGTCCAAATAATCCTACAAGAAGAAGTTGCTGGAAGATTTTCTGTCATAACACTTGTCATGATTGTCGAACGATTCGAGATCGAACCATTGATTAGGAGAGTTTGGCCAACCCGGTTCGAGTAGGGCACAATATGGCGAATAGCCCTACCGTGTTGTTGGGCAATCCCACGAATGAGCGCCATGTTGATTGTGACCAAGTATAGATGGCTCTGAACGATTCGTGTAAAAATGGTGATCTCATCAGTCATTCTTTCTGTTTTTTATATATCTCGATCCATTACCCCTTTATCCACTCAATCTCTTCACCACTGTCTCTATCGGCACACATTCTCTCTCTTATCGACCAGCCAACCTGGCCTTCCCGTCCTTCAAGAATCTTTCCGCCCTCTTCTTCGTGTTTCTGTCATTTTATTAAACCTAGTAATATTTGTGATTTTAATTATTTACGAAACACTAGTTTTAGCAACCTTTTTTCTTGTTGTAACCTTCCTTATGCCTAGGTCACAGAGATATTACGGGAACCGTCCGTTTTTTCATTTCTACGGCATGTGTGGTCACATATTATGCGGCGCCCGGGAGGTGCCCGGAGAAAATTGGTCGAGTGGAATGCAAGGCGCCCGTAAGGGTGCCGGCAGGGTGCCGACAGGGTGCCGACAGGGTGCCGACAGGGTGCCGGCCGAGTGCCGGCCGGTAACCTAACGGGCTCCGTCCGATGAGCAGGTGTACCGATGGCTCCCGGAAGGTGCCCTGCCGGCGCCCACCCGGGGTCCTCAAGGCGCCCGGCCGGGTGCCGTGCGGTGCACTGAACTACAGAGTGAGTCAGAAAAAATGTCCCACTTTAAAATTTGTATTGTTTGAAGTATGAATATTTAATCATGGGTTTCATGATATATCTTGATAGAGTTATCCTCCCAGTACATTTAGGTACCATTTTCATTTGAATCTCTGCATGCATCACTGAATATCAGACAATCTTTACAAAACTGCCAGATCTCAATTGCGCCAAGTTACTGGGTGAGGAATAAAACAGTGCATTGAACAAAGACAGTCAGACACGCGCGCACACACACACACACACACACGCACACACACGCACACATATACACGCACACGCACACACAAACACACGGTGACTATTGTTTCATAATTACCCCTTTTCTGATTGAGCATTGATTTTTATCAAGATCGCTGAAATTTTAAGTGGCATAACCCTAAAAATCTTTCCCTTTTGTACACATTCACTACCACCATCATTTCATCATCATTATCATTGGCATCATCTTAATCTTCATCATCATCATTATCATCATCATCAACATCATCATGAGCACAACATCCGCCAATACGCACCAAGAGGACAGCGGCCACTCAAATTTTCGTACGATAAGAAGAATTCCCGACAAAAAGTAACAGTTTGGGTGGGCCTTGTCGAGAATGGAATGCTCATATGTGTGCGTGGGTGTGTGAATGTGCGTGTGTTTGTGTGTGTGCGTGTGCGTGTGTTTTTTGTTGTTGTCTGTCTGGCTAATTGGATAATTGAAAAAAAATGGCTGTCTTTGTTCAAAACATTATTTTATTCATCACCTAGCAACTTGGCGCAAGTGAGATCTGGCAGTCTTGTAAAGATTGTCTTATGTTCAGTCATGCATGCAGAGATTCAAACGAAAATGTTACCTAAATGTACTGGGAGGATAACTCTATCAAGACATATCATGAAACTCATGATTAAATATTCATACTTCAAACAATACAACTTGTTTTCTGACTCACTCTGTATGTGTCCTCTGGTATCCGCACCTACTGTATTTAAAACTGCGTTGTACATTTCGAGATGCCGCCGTGAGGGACCCGCACGGGCAATATTCATTTTAAATGGCCCCCGGACGGCAGACGCCTGTTGTTGTGCATTTCATCCGGGGCTCTTGAGGGGCCGTGATGGCGCCGTAGGGTACACGTACGGAACCCTTGAGCACCGCAAGGCGCCCGTAAAGATTTTTCATGAGAATAGACCCCAAAATCGTGAGGGGCCCGTCCGGAGCCCGCATTGGATCCGTAAGGTGCCCTACGGTCCTTTTACGGGCTTTCTACGGCCTAACGGTCAGATAAAAACGCCGGGAGAATTGGGAGCAGCCAACTCAACACCACGGCGCCCGTACGGCTTAAAATACTGTCCCGGCTCCCGTAGGAACTTTACGGCAACCGGCCGGACACCGGCCGAAAATTCCCAAAATGTCTGTTTTTACTCGCCGTACGGGCCCCGGACTATAATGTGAAAGCCCCATTAGCATTACTTAACATAAGAATATGCGCCATTGATGTACCGATAATTGTTCCCTCAATTGCATCGCCATTGATTAAATCCGCACGATCTTTGGGCGGGGGGGGGGGGGGGGGGGGCGGCATTCATGTACTCATAAAATTTGTGAAAAGTCACACAAAAACTATCTTTTCCGAGTAATTCAATTACATCAGATTATTTATCTGCTTTACGCGTTCAAAAACTCTGAAAGATTAATGGACGTCTTGCGATAAAGGGGGTTGTTGGTGTTTTCTGCTTCTATAGGCAATACCAATGTTGTTATCTGTATTCGGGTGAAGGTTGGAAGAAATTCATGCACTTCGCGGCCGGTTTACTGATCAGATTAAGAGATCATTTTGATTATATTTGAGATGCAAAGTCCTTGTGTCAATATCATATCACGTGACTCTTATCCATTATTGAGACATTTTTTATACTTTATTTTGTTGAGTGATGTATAGTCTAACCTGCCTATTACGGCTACTCAAGGGTTATTGATACTATTTCTTTATTCATAAAAAGTAGAATACATGCGGAGTACATATAATAAATCCAACATGGTTCGAGAAAAGAACTAACAAAAAGTGGCCATACATGATTAGCCAGTATAGACATACTTTAAAACACGCATTTCCTTCTGGAGGGGGTAAACATGGGTCATCATTACAGACAATTGCGTTTCCAGACAGTTTTCTTCTTTTTTGGTACAATGTAATCTCGTGACCTATATACTGAACATTATCCTTTCGCTAAAAATAAAAATAATAATAATTTTCCAACTTTATTTTCCTTCTTCATATCTAGTATTGCTGATAATCTCGAAATCTACACGGAACGCGTCAAGATAGGTATGCTCGGCGACAAACTGACGCATTACGGTCGCAATCTTTACATCGAAGTCGAGCAGACGACACCTGAATAATTATGTCGAACATTCACCCAACAGATGGGTGGTGGCGCCAGATACTGAGGGGACTTCTGAACCGGAACCAGTTGTCTCCATTGACTTCCCATGGGGAAAAATTGCAGGTGAGAATGGGGAATGGCGGAAATCTTATATATACATTGTATAATCGTATACATCAATCAATGTATCTGTATTATCTTTTCAATTATGCACCACAGCAAAACAAAAACAAAACAAACAAAAAACAACAACAACACATTATGCAGGAAATGTATGGTGTATAAATTTTAAGCTTTCAGAAACATTTTTTTAAAATAATTATTATTATTTAAATAAATACTGTGCGAACAGTACAATTATATATTACATAATCCGAAGATGATTTCTATACGCAATTTGACCGTAAGTAGATTTTCGAAAGTCCCCGTTCTCTTGGTCAAAATAGGTTCAGACAAATTCATGAAAAGGAGAATACTATAGAGATATCGACTGCTACGAGAGGACTGGTTGTTTTTATATGCTCAAGGGAAATTTGCCTCCGCTGCTATCACCACGAGGCGCGCCTGGGTGAGTGGCGCGCCTCGTGGTGATAGCAGCGGAGGCAAATTTCCGAGAGCAAGTATAGAAACAGCCTGTCCTCGAGTATTAAAGCAGTCGATATCCCTTTTATATGCCGAATACAAACAAAAATCTACCACAAATTCTTACCTTATCCTTATATCGAGTAAAGATTGGTTAAAACATCATGGAAAATCGGAGAAAATGTATGTTTATCACCGTCGGAAAAGTTACTGAACTTTTCGATCAGTTCGGAATCGCAGACAAAAAGCACTCTTTGGTGTCCACGCTCGCTCAAAGAACATTTTAACACGTAAACCAATGGGTATCGCAGCAAGATTTTATTATTTTCCCGGTAACTGGAATTTTGGGGGATTTTACTCTTGAACATTTAAATGGTTTAGACATTTTTCGTTTCTTTACGGTAATGGCTCAAATCACGACTGCAATTTCGACCAATCAGATGGCTGGATTTCTTAAGTGAAGTATATAAAAGTATATATCAAACAAGAAAGGAGTTTCCATCAACATTTGGCCTATTTTGTCTTTTGTATTCCTGCTGTAAAACGACGAAATGAAACAGATGGAAGATCTCATAGAATTCGGGAGAGAGATCGCGAACCAGGCGGAACAGGACTATCTTTGATGATCGGTTGAATAGGAGAGACCCTGAGGCGTATGCCGTACCTACGTCTATGCTGAGGGCCACCGCTATTGTTTACTACACAGGTATGATGAATGTGCCATTGTTATGGGGAGGATGATTTAGATATCTCGTTGTATTTAGATACATACATAATATATATAGTAATTAAATATCTGATAAACTAATTTGACACCGGTAATAGTAATTCTCAAGGATCTTTAATCCAACTGTTTAAATTACTACTTCATAATAACCCCCTCCGGCCTCTTCGATGCTTTTATTCAGAATGATCTTTGAGAAGAATAAATATCTGTTATTCATTTGAACTAAGATTACATTATATACATTATTATCAATACCTGTAATGAAACTATTTTTTCCAGTTTTAGTAGCTTAATGCATTTCCTTGTTTTTTATGAACTAAAGATTCCTCTATTATACTATCTTTTTCCTCTAATATGCTCACCGTCGTCATACAGGAAAATTCTTCGTGAGCGAGTTATCTCAGATCGCCCCCGTTGATGAAACTGTGCTGGTATACATCAAGGCATACAATGACGGTGTGCCGTTGGAAGAGATCCCCGAACCGCTCTCCATTACCTTCTATCATACGACTGATGGCCAGGTAACTAGAATATCAAACTTTGCGTTTTCAATCTCACCATACACATTCCCCGGATAAACCTTTTTTTTTTAAAGGAAAACAAAATAAAAAATTGCGCTTCTCTCTGCTTGCTGGGACCTTCAATAAATAATGAGGGTCTTTTAGGCATCACAGCTGATTAATGTAAAATAAAAAATATGATTTTGTTTCTTTGGAAATTAAGGGTAAAATATACATTGACAATTATTGTCAAGTCCGTTTCGAAAACGCTCTTTTAAATTCTGTAGGCTTATGTTAGGTATTTTACAATAAAGTGTGCTTAATGTAGTAATAACAGGTTTTTTTTCTTCTTCTTGATTTGCTTTTTTTCTCATATTAAGTAGGGGGGGGGGGAATTAAAGGAAAGAAAATACTTAATTATTTCGGCAGAATAGGAGGTAATTTTAAAGTCCTGAAAGATTCATCTGCTACTCCTCCAATACAGAGATCCCTTCCAATTCTTGTTTGCTTGTTTTTATTTAAAGGACATTTCAAAGTTTAGATATTAAGGCTCGTCTGTTGAACAATCGATTAAATAAAATGTATATTCCGCATTAGTTTCCTTCGCCATCAAATCGGTTTTTTCTGTTAATTGGGAATGTTGCTCGATCAAAAATTCATTTGGAGATTTCACAAGTTTTTCTTTTGTTGGTTTTGCTTCGATTTATTACGTTCAAGTTCAAGTTCAAGTTAATGTCCAACATTTTACCAAAAATATAGACATACATATAAAATAAAAATTGTACAATACATGTAGTATATATGAGCACGTCTCAATGATTGTCAATTCATATAATAAATTAAGTAGAATGTGAGGAACCTATTAAAAAGTAGTGCTTGTATGTTATAGGTCCGAGGTAAAATAAGTATTGTAAATGTTCATTTTTTGTAATGAGGGCAAACCATGAAGACTCTTATTAATAACGTAATGCGTATTATTGTTATATCTCCCCCCCCCTGAACCGTCTCCTAGGGTGATCTACCAGACTGGGCTGGATTTGCCTGTGGATCAGCTCGACTCCATAGCTCTAGAGAACCTGTACCTGATCTTGTGCAGCATGGTAAGATCATCATCTTTTGTTGTGTAATCAACTATGTTTTCTACCTAACTATATATCTTTAATTTATTCCTGCAGACCAGCCCTTGATAGGTCAATGGCCTCTGCTGGCTCCACTACATTCTCTATTCTAAATTTTAGGTGCTCTATATTCTTTTTTATATTGAATTATGCTATTTTCCTGTTTTGTTGTGTTAATCACATAGTGTTTGTAAACTGTTATATATTTTTTTTGGATAATGATAATAATAATTGATATTAATGATATTAACAAAGGTATACCATTCCTTTCCCGTATTATATCTTCTTCTTTTTTCATTTTCGGCAGTTGAACTTGAATGGGACTCTTCGTACTGCACGATGAATTTTACAAATGATAACTACACAGTCTGTATGTGTACCGTCTTAGAAATCATTGGTCTGATAAAGGATGCAATACCAACACAGGAACCGGTAGGTTTTACCTCCGAATATCAAGTAATGATTTAGCAATCTTTAAGGGTCGTTAGGTCGGTTATTAATGTCATTACGTCATCATCTTCCTATCAAAACCCTCGATGGCAAGATAACTGTTTATCACTCTACCCCCTTAATACTATAAACATCAACATCATCTTCTTCACCATGATCATTTTTGCCCCCACTCCGATCGTAGGCCTACCCATCACTAGCAAAATAATCGTCACCACCATGTCGTCGTCGCCATTCTAATCATCATAAACCAATACTATGTTAATCCAAGCACTTTGATGGTTACCACCCTCTACCATTGCCAATTGAAAAAAGTATATGTTTGATGCTCTCCAAAGGACTTCAGAAACTCTGGAATTGTTCGTAGTAAATCCCAGAACAGAACAAGTAGTGGATAAGTAGATGTAATTGGATAGAGTTTATCTTCATGTAACTCTTATTTTCTTTGTCTGTTTTGTATAGACCACACCAGAAACAGCACCCGGACCACTTGAATTCATTGTAAGTTTATAACAGTACATCCTTTTTCTTGACCCATCTGTGTTACGAGTTTTCCTCCAATAAATAAAAAGAAACCATATCCTCCAAGAAAACAAACATTACGACCGCATTTTGCTTCATGTTAAGAATTGTGAGGTGATAAGGCATTCATTTACATTTGCCTCTTTAGACCCAGGTGAAGGTAGGAAATCCCCTAATGCTGTGAGCGCCGAAATCGGCATTGCCTTGCTATAGCTAAAGCACCTTGAGTGCTGGCTATGAGCGCCATAAAAATATCAAATATTATCTATATTATTGTTATTCTTATTGAACTCAACTGTATCGGATTAGAGCCATAATACATGTATTATGCTGAAATTGTATAGTATTAATGACTGCTTTGAGAGAAATAGTTGTTTTTATACGCTCAAGGGAAGGTTAGAATTGTGCTATTACCCGAGGCGTGCCGAGGGCAATAGCCCAATTGTAACCTTCCCGAGAGCGTGTAAAAACAACTTTTTCTCGAATATTAAAGCAGTCATTAATACTTTTATATGCCGAAAAAAAATAGACTAAAAAATAAAAAATAAAAAAACTTTTGTCGAAGATGCGATTCGAACTCTTGCGTACAAAAGGTGATGTAACAAAAATCAGCGCATTAAACCTCTCGGCTATCGCGCTCTGTTTCCTCATTTGGCAGTTTTCTCTAATATATACATTAAAATGGATTGACAACGGCTTCGGTGGTGGATGCTTCGCTTCTGCTCCATTAAACGGGCCCTTCTTTTACTTTTGCAATGCATATTGGCACGAACTTAGATCAAGATCTATCGGCAGATGTTGGTTTTTTGTTTTTGGAAGTTTATTTTCGTCTTCATGTCAACAATGCAAGATAAAATTGTCGGTAAGATCGATCGAGATTCAATTGTATTGAAATTACCGACCAATTCTTCGCACACGTACGGTATCCTCCATCGCTCAGACCATTTTTTAACATGTAAACCTATGGGGTAACCATGGAGACTGACCTATTTTCCCAATAACCATGGTTATTGGGATTTTGAACTGTTTTAACCATGGTTACCGGGAATTTACAGGAACAGTTGAAGTTTATGAATGCAATTTCGACAAATCAGATGGCTGGATTAGTTAAGTGAGGTATATAATATTGATTATTATATAACCACATTTGATGTGCAATTTTTCAAAATGGAAACAAGAACTTATATCTTAAAACTGCCCTAGAGTGATATGAAGTTGACAATTCGCATCGTAGGCTAGACATTAACCCCCGCTTTTATTAAATTCAATATCGTCCTTTTAGTTTGTTTACGATGCTTAATGGCCTGGTCCCACTGGCCGATGGACACAAAACGTATGCATAAAGGACACAGCGGACGAGCAAAATTTCATCCGCTCCAGAAATGGACAAAATTGACGAAAATTTGCGAAAGCAGAACGGAAAATAACGTACGTGGGTAGTATGTAGCGGGGATGTTAAACGGATGTTCATCGGAAGCCTAGCGGATGAAAGCAGATGGAAGTGGATGACAGCTTTCAATACTTTATATACGAGATGCATACGCTTACATCCTTTCTATTTCCGTGGTACTAACGATGTATAGACGTTCCATGTACCTTATCTTTCCTCCCTCGTTCCGTTTTCAGCCGCAGCGTGTGAGTTGCGAGGATGCCCAGACGATGCAGAGAGGATACAGCGGACGTTTAACGGATGATAACGGACATAGAACGTTTGTTGCTCGTATTTGTCGCGGATTTACATCGTACACGGCGGAAGTTCATCCGTTCTAAAAGTTTTGTGCAGCTCAAAACTTTTTGCGCGGATGAAATCACAGTGGACGGATGCTCGATGGATAGAGCGTATGAAACACGTATGCAATGAGTACACAACGGATGCATAGCGTTTTCCAACGGATGGCAAGATTTGCATCCGTAAGTGCAGTGGGACCGATTGAAAACGTGTGATGGTCACCAGTTTTTTTATCTCTCCTTTTTCACCAGGGAATTCCGAATTCACTTGGCCTGACTATAAAAAGCTACATCGGCTACAGTGCAGGGGCGGATCTAGCTTTTTGCTAAGGGGGGGGGGGGGGGGTTTGACCAAAATAATGACGATGCGGAGCATCGTCCACGAGCCGCGAAGCGGCGATCCGATTTTTTTGGGGGGTGTTTATTTGAACCCCGTAAGTGATGTTTTCCTGGCATCTATTAACACAATGGAGACCATAAAAAGCAGTGCATGATAACGTCTTTTTAAATCAAGTAACAGTTTAATACACAGTTATATCCAGAGTTATCATGTCTTTGGTTAAGTTACCAGATGAGTTGAATATCTTCTCACAATATTTGCACTTGAAAGGGTTTCTCTCCAGCGTGCGTTCTTTTTTTTCTTTTTTTTTTTCTTCTTCTTTTTTTTTTGGGGGGGGGGGGCCGCCGAAGGGGGGGGGGTTTAAACCCCCTAAACCCCCCGTAGATCCGCGCCTGCAGTGTATCGATCATCAGTCTACTCCTAACTATCATAACCTACCCTATCTTTCCGTAAGTGTACGACAGTTTTTCATTTAATTGTTGAAATGGTCAGCTTTCTCAAAAGTATTACTTTCCCGAAACTACCGAGACAGCTGGCTATAGGACTACTCCCCGAAACGTATATTGCAAACACAATATCAATGTAGCTCTTTTCATTCAATTGAAAGTTAGGCCTACCTCTCCTTTAACTGTTTGATACCGTTTTAGAACTCTATGTCACATCTTCATCAGATAGCGTATTTAGGAAGGTGTGGGGGGGGGGGGGGTAACTGGCCCTTTTAAACCTCCAAAGTGCCCCTTATTGTGTTTTGTGACCCCCTTTCAACTTCTTGACTCAATGGACCCTGAAAATAGATTACTCCTGAAAACGTGATAATCTTATCAATATTTGTTTAGATTTCGGAATTTGCCTCTCAATAACCCCCTTAAAATAAAATCCTGGATCCGCCCTTGTTAGGAGTGTATCTTAACTGTGAAGAGTCAGATGTAAAAACGAAATTCCATCATTTTCTAATAATCCTATTGTGTTATTTAATTCATTTATAAATTTATTATTTTTATTCATATATTCATCAAATGATATATATATTTATCTAACTATTTATTATTTATTTATGACTATATTCATTCATTAAATTCCCTTTTTATCCAACTATTTATTTATTTACGTATATACTCATGTATTTAATATTAATTTATCAATTATCCGATTTTTCTTCTCCCATTATATAGAAAGCTGCGGCGGGGTCGTCCGACCCTAATCCACGTGAACCTGTGCGTGGCCATCCTCCTCCTCCTCGTCCTCCTCATCTCTTCCGTGGCCTTCTGAAAACAACGTCATGGGGTGCCGTGTCGCCAACATCTTCCGTATCTACATCATCCTAGTCTCGCTGATGTGGAACGGGGTCGAGGCCGTCCACATGTACATGACCCTCGTCAAGGTCTTTACCGCCCACGCTTCGTACTTCGTTCTCAAGGCCGGCCTGGTGGCTTGGGGTAAGGGTTTCAGAGCATCAGCAGTGGTTCACATGCAGGCACATCTCTCGTGGGGGGGGGGGGGGCTTTGGGCTGGGGCGTGGGGCCTCTTACCCGAAAATCGACTTTCCCGTTTCTACATTTTCGCGGGGGCGAAAAGAGCGAGCAAAATAATGACACTATTTTTGTGGCAAAAATGCCTGGTCGTCCTCACAATTCACTAGATGACGATAGGAATATTACTAGGTATAGCGCACAAAAAATAAGTACAAGAAACACATGTTATTTGATGATTGCAAATGATCAAGCTTAATGAAAGCTTCAAAAAACAAAAAACAGAATTGAAATCGGTCAATGCGTTGTGATTTTATACCATTTTTTTGAAATCGCAGAATTACCGAAAAACCTGCCAGAAATGGTCAAATTGGCAAAAATGGTAAAATTCGACAAATTTGACAACTTAATTCATCACTTTCTCGGACACAAATAATAAATTAAATCATCGAAACTAAAATATCATCTTTGTGGTAAAAAATACAAACAAGAAAATTGAAAAAGAAAAATGTCAGATTTGAGGATTTATGACGATTTTCCGAGAAGCCATTCAACAGGCCATAACATTCCACAGGGACTGAATTTCAGAGTGAAAAAAGTTTGATGACCCCAGTACAGTTGTGGCTATCTTGAGTGTAAACAACAAATTGATTCAATGAGTGAAACACATGAGGATATTGCATCTTTGTAGGGGAGTTTTATACATTGAGGTGCATTTTCACCACGCAGAATAGCAGCGCGAGTCAATGGGCGATCAGCGGGCCATGTCACACAATGGCTGAAAAGACAATATTCTAATTAAATCATTTAACATATTTCCCACATGCCTATAACAATGAAACTACACAGAATTGTAATTAAAGGTATGCTTGAAATATATGTGAAATAAAAATTTAAAAATATTGTTTAGTTTTTTTAAAATAAATTTACAAAAATTGCTATTTCCACCAAATTACTGACTGCTGTTGTGTGTGTGTGTTCGCCGGGCAGACTGTGTGCACAGGCAGTGTGATCACCCTAATATTACATATTCGTGTGTCCCACTTCCCGAATATGAGAAGATGAGAAGATTTCGGCACCTCACTGCCCTAATGACGTAACGTGATTGTTGCAGAAATATATTTTTCGGAAATCTTATGATGCCGTAAGAGGGGAACAGCAAACTGAAACACTTAAGGGTATTAACGTGCAAAGGTGGTGACTCTTCTATACACGGGGCCTTCATTTAAAGTCCTGTCCGAGTTACGGGATGTTTTGTTCTTCACTGTAAGCTACCTTTAATCTATGAAAAAGGTTTTGTTTTTCTTCTGGGTAAGTTTAAAACCCACGATATTTGGTTCAACAGAAAGACGCTTTACCTACTGAGCTTACTTGCCTCCTCGAGTGTTATTACATCATACACCCCGGGTTCTTCTTTTCCATCTTACGTCACGTGACAGCTATACCTCTCGTCATTGGTCCGTCGACCAACCTTTATAATTGATTAATGTCTAATCTATTCTTTTCAATTTCAGGTATACCACTATTCGTCGTGCTCATAGCAGCTGCAGTCAACATTGAAATCTACGACGGGGTCCTCATCAATTGTACATTCAGGTAACCATGATTACGATCGAAGCCTCAAGTATGGTTGTAAAAATGATGGTGCAATCATTTAACCCCCGGATTGGAGTAATCGATTACTAAATGTAATAATAGGATTAATGAGAGTTTAGAAAGTTTTGTTTTAATATGTGTTAGGCGCCGGTAAATTTCGTTTAATTTTCATGACGAATTTCAGTGATTCTTGTCATCTCATAAAGGCCAGATAAAAGTAATTCCTGGTTTCTCGTCTCCTCTTTCCCTTTCTTCGGCAGGCCTCATTTTTCTTGTTACGTGGTACTTTTATTTTAAAATAAAATGATGAAAATCTGAGGGCATCTAGAGAATGGTGTTCACAAAAATTGTTAATAATGGCATTTCACCTTGTTTGTAGCAAAACTGCACAGCTGTTTTTCAGCATCTCTAATGCATGGAATTGAATTAACAAGATCTGTGTCAAACTTGACCGAATGGCATTTGCACGTACACAAAAAAATTATCAAATATCAAGTAAAACTGAACCCCTTCCTCATTTTCAAAATATCTGACCGAGAATCTAAAAATCAATTCTACTTGGCCCTTATGTTATCCTATTTGAAGTTATATAGCATACCGATTATGATTCTATTCTATTGTATATCTAATTTCAAGTTGAGGAATAATATTCCGCGCCACACATACAATTAACGTATATTGGCGAGAGACTTCAAACGTCGTTACTGGCATTTGACAAGCTATCTACGTTTTTTTACGCTCGGTGGATGTTGCCAACTAATATTTATAAAAAATTGTCTATATACATTTAAAGTGGTTTCCCCATGGGGCACAGGGGACAGTGGACCCCCAAATTATTCTGATACCTAACACAGATATGTGCCCCGTTTCAAACATAAAAACATGTTCTATTCGTGAGAAATGCAAAAGAAAAAGCTAGTGATGCCATGCTCGTTCTATCTCTTTAATTCTCCAGCTGTCGTTTGAGTACCGTCGCGTTCTACGGTCTTTTCCTAACCCCGATGCTCATCATCGTCCTCTTCAACAGCATCGTATTTGGGCTCGTTCTCCGGGTTATCAGAAAAATATATAAAACAGGTAATCTATGAATCTAGGTCTGTTTTACTGTTGGTGAATCCAGGCTATGGCCGGAAAGAAGGGAGGGTTGGAAGTAAGGGAGTGTGGGGGTAAAAGTCATCAGATATTAGTCCCAAATTCCATGACAAATAGAAATAAACAGAAGGAGAAGCGGAGAAGAAGAAGGAGGAGGAAAGGAAGAAAACAAGAAGGAGAAGAACAAGAAGATGACAAAGAATAAAAGAAAGAAAGAAGAAGAAGAAGAAGAAAAATTATCATATTTTCAGGAATCGCTGCTTAAAGGAGTCACACCAAGAAGCAAAAGTGTATTGAATTGATGCAAAATTCATATCATTGCGAAGGGGAAGCCTTACTGATCAAATACAACAAATTTCCTCTTCAAAATATGTTTGGGGCCCGCAGAAATCAACTTTCAAAAATGTTAATTTTGAGATCCAGATTTACTGCCTTCAGCAGTCCTTCGTATGACGTCACTACTGTGACGTCACACCCTGGACACGGCTGTCTAGCTGCAGACTAATACACGCGCGACTCCGGTATGCGGCCGGTGCCGAGCTGTTTGTCCAGGGTGTGACGTCACTATTCAGAGCTCGCTACGCTCGAGTGTTTGGCTTACGTTCGGGGGCGCTTGGGGGTCTAAGAAGTGTCTTGAAAAATTGCATTTTACGCCTTTCCATGATATCTATATGATTTCTCAGCAAATTATTCGTGTTTTTCAAGAGAAAATCTTTCCATCCATATGTAATTTGTTCTAATTATCAGTTGTTAGTAAATTTTCTTTATGTAGCTCCTTTAAAGTAGTGTGATTTTGATGTCAACACCGTGTATCAGATTTCTTTAGATTTGTGTTTATAGCAAAACTGATTTTGCTTTGTTTTTATTCAGTTGCGATTGTCGCTCTCCTTCACACTCTTAGATGGTAAAAGACGCCATTGAATCAGTTGAAAGGTGCCGTTGCTCTCCTAGTCCTTCTTGGTATCTCATGGATCTTTGGCGCGGCGGCCGCCGTCAACTTCACAATCGTTCCGTCAGGATACGAACCCCAAGCTACGGCAAACACTTTTCAGGTCGGTTCACGTTGTAGATCGTCATTTTATAACCGCCCTTCTCTCCCACTTACTCTCTCTCCTCTCTCTCTCTATCTCTCTCTCTCTCTCTTTCCTCTCTCTCTCTCGCTCTCTCTCTCTATCTCTCTCTCTCTCTCTCTCTATCTATCTCTCTCGCTCCCTCTCTTTCTCTTTCTCTCTCTTTCTCTCTCTCTCCTCTTCTCTCGACCCCCTCTCTCCATCCTTCTCTCTTTAAAACAAAATCTTTGTTTTCTGCTTCAATCCACTTCCCCTAATTCTCTGTTTCAGTTTTTTCTTTCATCCTTTTTTCTCTTTCTTTCTTCTTTATTTCCCCCCCTCTTTTTTTCCCCTTTCAAAAGAATCTCGATCGCGTTCTCTCTTGCTCTCTTATCTTAATATTCTCTTTGTTTACCCGTCATTGTGAAGTATTGTCTCCTTCTTAATTTTAGATGTAGGCTATATTTTTCCAGTGATTTTTTTTCGTCACTCCTAAAAGTCGACGTTGCCATGGTTGCTGTATTTTGTCATTGTTTGTCTCCGAAATATTGGTCACCCGACTGGTTCAATTAAAATCATAGCTATTATTCTTAGGCGTTATTGAGGACTCTAGAAAATGCCTTTTGGGACTTGTACGTCCTAAGATTATTTATTTTACAGAAGGCTATTGGCTATCTCGATACTAAAAATGTCAGGTCATCGTAGTCTTTAGGAAAATGATATGTTAGAAACCACAACTATTCCCCCAAATTTGTTTAATCTATATTTTGTTTTCCTCTCTCTCTCTCAGGCTCTCTTTGCAATCAGCGTTGCTTTCCAGGGCTTCTTCATTTTTATCTTCCATTGTGCAAGATACCCGGATATTAGGCAACAATGGTAAACGACTCTGACTCCGAAGAGATGCAGACGACAGAAGAGGAAATCCAGTTGCATTCCAACCGTGTCGACCGGTTCGGGGGTTGACGGCATTCAAGTTACGCGGTTATAGCAGGAACAGTTAGCGGTAAGGGAGAATGTGATGCGGTAAGCTTCGGCCATCATCGGTAAAACTATGGAACAGGATCTGACTGAGTGCTATCTTAACCGGTGTCACAACAAAAAAGAAACAATGTTTTCAGCCGTGTCTACCGGTTCGGGGAATGACGGTATCCAAGATGTGTGGTTAGCGGTTAGGGCTAAAGCGACGCGGTTATCTATTTGTCAGTGAAGCTAAACGAAAGGACCTGCTACTAAGACTCCGATTCTATACCCGCTTTCACGCGAGAAAGGAAATCAAAATGTATTGTAACCGTGCATGTGACCGGTCTGAATAACGTCATTATCAAGGACACGGGACTATCGCTGGAACTGTCAGTGGTTAGGGCTCAATTAGCGACAAGGTAACTACCTGCCAACCTCAATAAAATTAGGGAAGTGGAGCCGACATAATGCTACGTGACTCCGATCATTTACCGATGTAACAACAATGAAGAGTGTTGCATTCCAACCGTGCCTTCCGGTTCGGGAAACGACGTGAACCCGGTGACTCGATTAAGCACGAAATGTGAGCGGTTATAAACCTTCAAATATGACATTGTCCTTGAGTGTTTGCAACTAGTATAAGACCGGCAATGGAATTTAGTCAGTACTATTGACATTTTCGACAAATTATGTGTGCTATTTTTAAAGGGTTGTTGCACGCCGTCTATAGTCCAGATGCGACGTGGTATAAAAGGTACGGTGGGCGGTAGAGTATTTACATACCCAGTAACTGATAGCCGTGAGGGCAATTAGAGCAAACTCAAAACAGTTTTCTTCTGAAACTACGATTCCACATGAAGCTCAAAACTTTCAATAGAAAGCAATCGTTGACCCCTTCCATGTTTATTGGGCCTGCGAAGTGTCTGCCTTGAAAATTAGTTGATATCTATGAATTTCGACTAAGAAACGAACATCCGCAGATTGTAGTGTGTAACATCAACAACCGTGATTTAGTTAACGTCGACGGCGGATCCGCGGAAAAGTGGTGAAAGTTATTTGATAATCGATCGATTTAGCCAGTGACTTAAAATTGTAGTTGAGTAAAATTGTACGTTTTATACTACATGCAGTGCATTGTAACTTTGTATAGTATATAAATAGTATACTCTTGGTATATAATGCCATGCAGAACACATATGCTGTTGTTGTTGTTGTTTTCCTTAGTAGGTTTTACAATACACCAGTTTACGGTAACAACAGTGCGCATGCGCAGACATGGGCGCCATTTTAACTTACGGGTTTACGCGTAAATTAAGACGGCGCCCATGCAAATATTATGTGAGCGCACAGCGCAGGCAGTGACGCAACAATACATGCGCATCTGAAAACATTGATGACACTACCTGCGCTGTGCGCTCACATGATATTTGCATGGGTGCTATCTTAATTTACGCATAAACTACTGACCTCTAGAGGTCAATGGTTTGTTTACCCGTAAATTAAAACGGCGCCCATAACCGTAAACCATCAGGGCCTATACATGCATGTAAGAAACGAAATTCCCTGGATATTCGGATCGTATGGGCCTATACCTCCATCAATTATGTTAACGTTGTGTTTTGATTGTGAATTAACAATCGCCATGAAGTAGATGCTGACGAAAGATACTGTCAATGAAATTATGTTATTTTGTAAGGGTTACCCGTCAAACGTTGAAAATAAGTGGCAATAGGTCAATTATTCTCCTTAACGAAATGAGAAGGATCACTTTTATACATGAACTCTGCAATTGATTTATCAACAGCGCCCTCTTGTGTGTCTAAATCAATCATCATGGTGTTGTACTTCCTTGTCCAATTTTCCACTTTTCCTTTTGGTTTCAATTCAAAATTTGTCCCTTCAGTGACAGAAATGCGGAAAAACAAAAGCAATTAAAATGGCATCAAGGTTATTGAACCGCCCAGCAAATCTCTCATGAAGCCTTTATGTTTTTTTGTTTTGTAATATTGTTTTATTGTATTCATTCAGTACAAAATATATAACAAACAAACATACAGCTTCATTGATTAACATATATCAAAATATAAAGAAAATTGTACATCTCTCAAAAATACTTAAGATAGTTTAATACACAGTACATAATATTTACATTGAATTATACTGAACGAATATTATAATTCAAAGAGTATACCTACAGACAGACAGACACACCACACACGCTCACATACTCAGACACACATACAAACTGACATATCCCCCTCCCCCCTTCATTCCAAATCTCAACAAATCCCCCCTCCCTTCCCGAGCATTCACATCTACATATTTGTTGGAAATCCTGTCTCTTCCTTTTCCTTAAGACCAAATTATATATTTAAAAAAAAAAAAAAAAAAAAAAAAAAAAAAAATGTCTGAGTCTGAGAAAGAAGTATTTGCCTCGCCGTCCTTAACTATGGAAGTTGTCCCATTTTTTGAAGTGAAGTGTTAAAGTGCCTCTCTCCCCCGCTAATTTCTTTTCTTCTTGCCTATTTTCTATAATTCTTTTTTTAATTTCTTGAGGAATTGGGGGTCTATTTTTAGTTGAACTATATTTAAAAATCATATGTTTTGTTAAAAGAATAATGTGATTTAACAGTTGTTCTTCTCCCGCATTAGATCTTTTTATCCCGATATGAATTTCTTGCCAATGTAGATTTTTTAACGCTGATAAATCAAAAAGGTCACCGCAGTCCTTCCAAATATTTGCTACCTTTTCACAGGTAAAAAACAGATGCTCATAGGTTTCTTCGTGTTTATTGCAAAAGGAGCAAAGATTGCTCACTGCATGTTTGAAAGTGTATAGATGCTTATTTGTATAAATTAAATTATATAACATTTTATATTGAAATTCCCTCAGCTTTCTGTCTAGAGTGGATTTTCGGGGTCTTAAGAAAATTGTTCTCGTGTCATTTTCGACCATATTGTATGTACGTTCTAAGTTGCATGTAGCA